AATGATAAGGGTTTGATTTTTTAAAAAATAATTTTTTCATTTAACATTATTTCTTATTATTGTTTTAATTTGATCAGAGAGAAACAGAAAGAGGAAAAGTCAGAAAGTAAGCTGCTGGGTCCAGGACTCAAACTGTGGTTGGCCATGTGGGAATCCAGCGCCCTTAACCATCCCACCAAGTGTATCACTGGAGCTAAGCACATTCACATTGTGCAGCCATCACCACTTTCCATCACCAGAATGTTTTCCTCTCCCCAAGCTACAGAAAGGGATTTTTTTAGAGATTGTTTTGCTGTAGGATGCATGCATGTTCACCAGAGGACAGAGAGATAGAGAAAGTGAGAAATCACTCCCCAGGGGGGGTGGCCACATCACAATCCTTTCTCCTCCATTCTCCTCTTGGTATTTTGGGCACACATGCACACGCACCTGGCCTGAGTTTCATGCCTCTGTCCGGGACTCAAACCACAGTCGGCCACGTGGGAGTCCACTGATGTAAGCATTACACCATCTGCTGGCCCCTGACTTTAGTCATCTTAACTGACATACATAAATGAGATGACATAAAAGGCATGAACCTGATTCTGATTTTTCTTTTCTTAGCCTGCATTGTTTTAAAAATCTCCTTATAATGCTACTTTTAATGAACTGTTTCTTACTGTATTTTTTTGGGGGGGAGAGGTTTTTGCTATAGGGTGCGTGCGTTCACCAGACAGACAGAGACAGAGAGATAGAAAGTGAGAAATCACCCCCCAGAGGGGATGGCCATGCCACAATCCCTTCTCCTCCATTCTCCTCTCAGGATCTTGGGCACACACACACACGCGCCCGGCGTGAGTTTAAGCCACCGGGTCTGGAACTCAAACCACGGTCAACTACGTGGGAGTCCAGCGACATAGCCATTACGCTAACTGCTGGTCCCCTGTTTCTTACTGTTGATAGTGCATAGTGATGTACACCTACCACTTTTCATCCATCCTCTCTCCCAATGATGACCACCCCGGCTATCTCCAATTCCTACCTCAGATAACATTGTAACAAGCATCCTCCAATTGTCACCTTTGAGGCTGGGCTAGAAATCTATTAGGATGTTTATGAAAGAGTAGAATCGCTGGTTTATCTAGTATGTGTACTGTTGATTTGATTAAGTATTGCCAGATTGCTCTCCAGAATGTCTGCACCAGTCAATACTCCCAACCTTTGTGCATGAGGATTTTATTATTATTATTATTATTGCCAGAGTACATATGTGCTCACCAGAGAGACAGAGAAATAGAGAGAGGGGAAATTAGAAAACACCTCTCAATGGGGCATAGTCACATCGCAGTCCCTTCACCATGTCTTCACCCTATCAGGATTGGTGGCATGCACACGTGCCTGGAGTGTTTTTCAGTCTGCTGAGGTCAGGATTCAAACATCCCATCTGCCATGTTGGCTTTCGCTCCCTTAGCTGCTAGGCCGCAGGCTGATCTAGTGCATGAAGACTTCTACATCCTCACATCCCCACTAGGCTTAATGATCCCCTTTCATTTGTTTGCAACTCTAATGATTTAGACCTCATTTTAATTTCTCATTATTTTATTTTAATTTCCTATTAGTTGATTTTATTTTATGTCTCATTTAGTATTTTGTTATCTTATTTGAATTCACATTTCTCTAATTACTAAAGAATTTGTGTATTTCTTCACATGTCTATGAGCCTTTTGAACTTATATATATTTTTTTGAGAGGTTTTTTGCTATAGGGCGTGTGCGCTCGCCAGACAGAGAGAGACATAGAGACAGAAAGCGAGAAATCACCCCTCAGGGGGGATGGTCACGCCTCAATCCCTTCTCCTCTATTATCCTCTCAGGATCTTGGGCACGCACTCACACGTGCCCGGTGTGAGTTTTAAGCCACCGGGTCCGGGACGCAAACCGCGGTCGACTACGTGAGAGTCCAGCAACATAGCCATTGTGCTAACTGCTGGTTCCCTTGAACTTATATTTTTTAAAGAATTATTTTACTTAATTTTATCCATTTATTTATTTATTTATTTATTTTATTTTATTTGACCAGAGTAGTACAGAAAGAGAAAGGGAAAGTGAGAAAGCAAGCCACCAGGTCCGGGACTCAAACCCAGGTTGGCCATGTGAGTCTGGCACCTTTAACCATCACGCCACCTGCTGGCCCTTTGAGCTCCTATTTTGACCAGATTTCTATTGGAGTTGTCATCTTCTGCTTGATCTGTAAATGTTCCCTTGTCTTCCCTGTTAGTTTAAAATACTGCATATATCTTCTCGTTATATGTTCTAGTCAGTTCTATTGCTAATGACAGGAACCACCTGAAACTGAATGATTTATAAGATAGCTCCAGCTTATGGTTTGGAGGTCAAAGGTACAGAGGTCCTCTGTGGTGAGATTCTTTTGGCTGTACCCCAACCTGACAATGGGCAGGTGGCCATGGTCTCCAGTATTTCCTGCAGTTCCCTGCCTGCTTCACTTCCTTTTCCCAGGACTCAATCATGGGGCACCGCCTGCCCAACTGCTCAATCACTAACCTCTTCCCAAATGCATATGAAAACATAAATAATCTGGTTGAATCTGAAAGAAGGGATCTTAAATCTAACCTCTTCTCAAGGTCCCACCCCTTGGGCACCCCAAGGAACCTCAGCAGAACCCCTAAATTGAAATATTATTTCTGTAAACAGTCTATCATTTGGGGCCAGCAGGTGGTAAGCTGATTAAGGGCACTGGACTCCCACATGGCCTACCATGGTTCGAGTTCTGAACTTGGCAACTTGTTTTCTCTCACTCTTTCTCTCTCTCTCTCTCTTGCTCTATCCCTCTCTGATCAAATTAAAATAAATTAAAGTAAATAATTCTTAAAAAAATGAAAATTATTTTTTTTAAATCTATCATTTAATATTTTAACCTTTTAGCCTTAATTATCATCCACCCACTAACTTAGAGAATCCCTACAACTGACTGGACTCTCACATTTCCTTGTCAGTTCATGGTTCATGTGCTTTTCCTCTTGCTATTTCAAACACCAGAATTTTTACATTTATTTATTTATCTGATGATCCAGAGAGAGACAGCACCCCAAACAGAGTCGTGACACTGTGATACACCTCAAGCCTTCAGCTAGCCCCACATCATGGGCAGTTGTGTGCACAGCATACTTGGGGAGTGTTGGGCTCTGACCAGGAACCTTCCTATGTGGGATTACCTTGCAGAGTGTTGCATTTTACTACTGTACCACCATGTAGCCCCCCCATCCACCAGAATTCTTCACATAATCAGATTCTGTACCTTATTCAAGCCCTAGCTCAATTTCTGCTTCTCCCAAGAAATCTTTTCTAGCCGTGTCAGTCCCTTAATCTCTAAAAGTAGTTATTGCTAGCACAATTAATTTAGGACTCATTTACTGACCTCATTCACCAGTACATTAGCATTTGTTCAGTGGTCAGAACTGTAATTTTAGGTCATGTACTTGGTGGTATTTGCTGTGTCAGTGCCTGTCCTGTTAGGCCACGTAAGCATCTTGGGGACGACTCTCATTCTGTGTGTCCCTATTTATGCTTTTGGTAACTAACCAAGAAAAATACCTCAAGTTTATTTACTTTAATGTCATGTCTTAATTTTTTTCCTAGATAACCATTTTTTATGTTGGAAGTTTATTTTGCTGTTTCGCTAAATGTGTTCTTTATCATTAATGATGAGCTTTGTCCTTAAAAGTTCTTTAAGATCTCTTCAAAATCCTTATAAAAGAGGCAGATTTATTCTCTCTATAATAAGCAGCCACTTTTGCTTAATCATTTTAAGAGCGATTTATACATAAAGTTATTTTTATGAGTTTTAACTTACCTGCTCACCTACAATGTAATGTTTGTCAAGTCTAGTAAAGCAATACCCTTTCCCACCTCGAGACTCATTCTTTTAGGTAAGCTTTCAATTCGCAAGATTCCCTCCTAAGGATCCTGACATAATGTAAGTCAAGCGTCAGACTGAGCATCGAGAGCACCAGCCAGGGTGGCTGCAATCTACTGTCATCCACTTGATGGGATGCTGCTTCACGCCACAGCAGTCATCCAGCCATTGAGCCTGGCAGCACATCTAGCCTGAGCTGTTGCTGGGTGGGTGATGAGACTTGCTGAAAGCACTGACCTGCTGGTGTGCTTTTGTGCACGGAGCCAAAACAAGGAAAATGTGGCTGGCCAAATCTAACATTTAGACCATAGAACATTTAGACCATAAAGTGGAGATAACCAGGTAAGACAGAAGATAGAGTAAAAGAATTATAGCACACGCCTAAGTCAGAAGTCCTTCAATGTGTATGCTGTTTAATTGCCCCAACATCTATTAAATGGGAATGATAATGCCCATTTACAAATGAAGAAGTAGAACTCTATAGACATAAAACGATGTATTGATGTTAGATATTTAGTTGGGTTATATTTGTGGATGACATTCAGATTCGACAGCTAAACCGACTTCCCTAATTCCCTTGGCTTTTGCTCACATAACTAACCCAGTGTTATTTTGCACTCTTGATATATTTTAGGGAAACTTAAATTGTTTAAAATAAATTGATTTTTTTTCCTGCTGGGCTATAAATCTGTAAGAGTAGAAACCATGACTGTCATATCTCCAGGACCAAACCTCCTGCTTGGCCTATAGCTTGTACTCCATAAATACCCTTTTATTCCTTCGAGGGGCATCATTTCTACTATATCATATTAACTGTACTAGGTAAGAAAATAATACTTGGAAAGTCTAGACCAGTGAGAATCTGACTATTCTGAGATTTACAGGTGAGTTAAACTTCTTAAGTGGACATAAAATAATTTTTAAATGTAACCTGCACATAAGGCCTTATATGACCTTCACTAGGTACTTGATTCTCAAAAAGGAACCACGGTAGAGAAATCATAGAATGAGAAATGCTGACATCTCAGTAATGTAGATTCAACTCCTCTATTTAATATTTTTGTATCTTTTTTTTTTTTTCCAAATAGAAAAAATCAGGCAAAGATATGCAGACCTGCCTGGAGAGCTACACATTATTGAACTTGAAAAGGATAAGAATGGACTGGGACTCAGCCTTGCTGGTAATAAGGACAGGTCACGCATGAGCATCTTTGTGGTGGGCATTAACCCAGAAGGACCTGCTGCAACAGACGGACGCATGCGTATTGGAGATGAACTGTTAGAGGTGAGAGGCATGCTTTTAGTTTCCCTTTTGGCGAAATGGAGGGGGTGGTATATAAGAAAATGAGGTGAAGGGAAAGAATGTTGACAAGTTACGTTTTCTTCCAACTATTTAAAATCATATTCCAGGAACCAGCAGAGGGCATAATGGTTACATCACTGAACTCCCACATAGTCGACTGTGATTCGAGTCCCAGACCCAGTGGTTAAACTCACGCCGGGCACATGTGTGTGCATGCCCAAGATCCTGAGAGGAGAATGGAGGAAAAAGGATTGAGGGATTACGGCATGGTCATCCCCACTGGGGGGGTGATTTTTCGCTTTCTATCTCTTTCCAGTGAGCACACATGCCCTATAGTAAAAATCTCATTCATTCATTCATTCATTCATTAATTAATTAATTAATTAATTAATTAATAAATAAGTATTCCAAAGCAAGAACAAAAATAAAATTGTTGCTTGCACATGTTATTTGCTGCTTGAATAAAGACTAATCTCATGTAATATTGTAAGAACTCTTAAGTAAGATTTCATAAGAACATATTAAAATATTATTTTGAATATTATTTTTAAAAGAATTATTTTGGGGGGACCAGCAGTTGGCATAATAGCTATGTCACTGGACTCTCATGTAGTCGACCGCGGTTCAAGTCCTGGACCCGGTGGCTTAAACTCACGCCAGCCATGTGTGCGTGCATGCCCAAGATCCTTAGAGGAGAATGGAGAAGGAATTGCGGTGTGGCCATACCCTGGGGGGTGATTTCTCTCTTTCTGTCTCTCTGTCTCTCTTTCTGCCAAACCCATGTGCCCTATAGCAAAAAAAAAAAAAAAAACTTTCTAAAAAAAAAAAAAAAAAAAAAAAACTTTCTAAAGAAAAAAAGAATTATTTATTTATTTTTATTTTTTAAATTAGACCAGAGAGAAAGAGGGAAAGTAAGAAAGCAAGTCACCAGGTCCAACACCTTAACCACCACATCACCTGCCAGCCCTGAACATATTTTTAATATTAATTCAAAATGGCTCTGAACCAGCTCCATGGCCTGGTGATTAAGGCAGCCAAATCCTACATGTCTGAACCTGTGATTTGAATCCTGGACCCTGAGGCTTAAGAAACATGTGAGCACATGTGTGTGCTTGCCCAAAATCTCAGCAGGGAGAGAAATGGAGAAGGGATTGCAGTGTGACCTTTCACCATGAGGGACAGGTGTTTTCTCCCCATCTCCTCTATATCTCTGTCTCTGCTAGTATACTCACCCTCTGGCAAAATTAAAGACAAAAATTAAAAAAGGTTCAAAATTAATCTGTCAATATCAATCTAATCTTTTCAGTATTAAAATTCTCTTAAGTTTGGGATCAGCAGATGGCATAATGGTTACCTTGCTGGGCTGCCACACAGTTGACTGCAGTTCAAGTCCCAAACCCAGTGGTTTAAAACTCACTCCACACACATGTACATGTGTGTCAAAGATCCTGAGAGCAGAATGAAGAAGGGATTGTGGCATGGCCATCCCCCTTGGGGAGAGTGATTCCTCACTTTCTGTTTCTCTATCTCTCCAGTGAGCACACACACCCTTTAGCCAAAATCTCTCAAAAAAAAAAATTATATTGGGTTTTGAATTCTCCATAAGCATAAACTGTTGTTATTTTTCAGTTATTTTGGAGAGGTATAAGAGCTTCTTGTCAGGAGTTTTTAGTGACTGTCAAGATGGTGATACAGCGGGAAGTGGGGGGCCAGCAGCTGGTGTAATGGCTATGTCACTGGACTCCCACGTAGTCGACTGCATTTCAAGTCCTGGACCCAGTGGCTTAAACTCACGCCGGGCACGTGTGCATGCATGCCCAAGATCCCAAGAGAATGAAGGAGAAGGGATTGCGGCGTGGCCATCCCCCCGGGGGGTGATTTCTCACTTCCTGTCTCTCTATCTCTCCCTGTCTTTCTGGTGAGCACACGCACCCTATAGCAAAAACCTCTACAAAAAAAAAAAATATGTGTATATATATATAGATAGATAGATAGATAGATAGATAGATATAGATATATATATAGATGCGGGTTAAGGCTGTCTGGGCTTCTAAATTAAGAATAAGATAAAGATAAGAGAAGCCAAGTAGAAGACTGACTCTCTGATAATTACACTCTAGATGCCTTTTCGATGACCAGAAAAACTCATTTTTATTTTACTGAACCTAAAGTCAGAGCTTCTGTTCTAAGTTTATCATGGTTAATGACATTTATCTGCTGGTTGATTCATTCATTCATCTAGCTAACATATTTTTCAAGGGCCTGCTAGGACTCAATATAGAAAAAGAAGAACCTATTCATTGTTTTTACTCAGATAGCTTACTGTCTAGCGGAAGATGAGCAAACATGGAAAGAGAGTGACACTACAAAGTGAAAATGTGATAGTACTAGCGGCTAGTACACGCTCAGTATCAGATGCGGCAACCTCTTTCACTGTTGAGATCACAAAGTAAATGACGGCTTGGGGATTCAGAATCAGGCTTTTTGACTTTTGACTCTTTGTTAACTGTGTCGGAAGACCTTCTGGATAAAACACTCCAACATTTGGTCATCCAATGGCGCTCAGTCAGAGACACCGAGCGTCAGACTGCTCCCTTGAAATGAGGTCTTACAGACTTTGCATTATATGGTTTCCTCTTCACACTCTGACTCAGAATAGAATTCCCAGTCTTCCGTAATTTGACTTGCCTAATAATATCTCCAGCTGAAGGCTGTCAGACACAACTGCGAGAGTGTCGACATCACCTTTCTTTTCCAAGCTCCAGTATCTTCTCTCCACTTGAAACCTGTTTCCACAGAGAAGTCACTTCTGGGATTACTTTTGTTTTCATGTTCTTTAGTAACATAGCATCATGAAGGGTACCCACCCTCAGCAGTAGCACTGACTAGCATCGTCATTAAATAAATAAAAGTCAAGGAGGATGGTATGTATTAGCCAGCATAATTCATTGCTTCATGTATATTTCCTTTTTTTTTCCTTTGGCTAATGTTTAAAAGGTGTCCTCAGAGATGAGACTAAAGTGATAACAGTGGTAATAATGACTAAAGAGCTAACTGGGACCAGCAGGTGGTGTAATGGTTATGTCACTGGACTCCCACATAGTTGACCACGGCTCAAGTCCTGGACGGGGCAGCTTAAAACTCACATTGGGCACATGTGCGTGCATGCCCAAAATCCCAAGAGGAGAATGGAAGAGAGGGGATTGCAGTGTGGCCATCTTCCCTCGGAGTGATTTCTTGCTTTCTGTCTCTGTCTTTCTGATGAGTGCACGCACCCTAGAGCAAAAAATCTCTCTTAAAAAAGAAAGTAAGAGCTGATTTACTGAGGTTTTAGCTACACTGTCCCCATATACTACACTCATTCGTATTCAATATTCTTAGACCCCTGTATGGTAAGTACTACTATCCCCATCTTATGGATAGGGAAAGTAGTAAAGTATCATGCTTGATATTACAGAACTGGGGGTCCAAGCTTGGATGAGCACCCAGGCTTGTCAGACCCATGCTCTAGTTGCTAACACGTACTGGGCTCCCATAGTACTGCTTCACAACCTCATTTGCTTGGAGCCGTGAGTGTGCAGACTTACGCTGATCTAACCTCTGGGGAATCATCATGTGTACTAAGTCACTGTTGTGTTGTATGTACCTAGACACAGGTTTCCTGCCCTGCCTCTAGTATGGAAATGTTGCAGAGATTTAATTTGGCACATGAAGATTCTAGTTTTGTTCTTTCTCTTAGATGTCAGAAACCAATGAGCTGTGGCTGCAGAGTAATGAGAGTGTGTTACAGGCCAAGCACAAAATTTAATACTGAGTACAGGACAACCACCACTGGCCTTGGAAGACTACTTGAATGTGCCCCAGTTCTTTTGGTGTTTCAGAAGGGCCTTAGCTTAGTGCATGTGTAAGACATAAATGGTTTTCTCCTCTTGCACACTACACCAAATGACACCAGATAAGTAAGGGGTTTTCCCCCACACACACCAAGTAAGTTTCCAGTGACGCGAACTGGGTGTCCTGTAAATCATTTTCATTCTTACACTACTGGCGATAGCATCAGATCCCAGAGGTTAAGAGCTCAGTCCTGGGACCAGCAGATGGCGTAATAGTTAAGTCACTGGACTCCCACATGGCCAACCATAGTTCAAGTCCCAGACCTGGTGGCTTGAAATTCATGCCAGGTGCTTGTGCATGTGTGTCTAAAGTCTCAAGAGGAGAGTGGAGAAGGGATTGGGGTGTGGCCATCTCCCCTGAGGCAGGGGGTGATTTCTCATTTTCTGTCTCTCTGGCTAGTGTACATGCTCTATAGCAGAAATCTTTCTGAAAAAAAAAGAAAAGAAAAAGAGCTCAGTCCTCCAGGACTGCCACCCCACCACTTTCAGATACCAAAAGCAAGTCCCAAGTTATATGAGCAATACTTCTGACCAACAGGCTATGAATTAGAGGTTCCCATGGCCCCCACCTCAGGTTTGATTAATTTGGTAGAGCAGGGAACAGCAGTTAGCGTAATGGATATGTCACTGGATTCCCACATAGTTGACTGTGGTTCAAGTCCTGGACCCGGTGGCTCAAACTCATGCCAGGCGCATGTGCGTGCGTGCCCAAGATCCCAAGAGGAAAATGGAGGAGAAGGGATTGCGGCGTGGCCATCCCCCCTGGAGGGTGATTTCTCGCTTTCTGTCTCTCTGTCTCTCTGTCTGTCTGGCGAGTGCACGCACCCTATAGCAAAAGAAAAACCTCTCAAAAAATTTGGTAGAGCAGTTCGCAACACTCAGGGAAACACCTTACTTACATGTACTCATTTATTATAGAGGACATTACAAAGGATACAGATGAACAACTGGATGGAGACTATAGATAGGGCAAGGTATGTGGGATGTGGGGTTGTCCAGGCCCTCTCTGGGCACGCCACCTTCTAGGTACCTCCACGTGTTGGGCAACCTGGAAGCTATCCAAAATCCATAGTTTGAGGATTTTTATGG